AGCCTGCTTCCACCAGGACTCACTGCTGAGCCATCAGCGTGAAAACGACAAAATGAACTGATAAGTTTTGATGTGCAATGAGCTATTTTTGGCTCAAAGGACAATGCATTTAGGGGAGATAATTCCTTCCTCTATGTCCAGAAACTCCAGAAATGTTTAAAATCACTTCTCCAAGGAAAATTAACTGAACCAGAAGGGGCTCTCCAGCAGAAACAGATGGTAGCCTTAGGACCTGATCAGGAAAAACACTGTGCACACACTTTACTTTTACATTTGTGAGTCATCTAATTGAAGTTAGACCTGCAGAGATGAGTACTTCCAGGGTTTGGCCTTTGGCAGTGGTGAGGCAGCTCAGAATGGTGGAGGTGTTTTACAGCAGCACTCTGCTGGCAGCTCATTTTGGTTAGGATAGATAAATTCAGGGAGCCTGAGCCTCTCCAGGTGTTCTGGTCCTTGGCTGCTGCTTACTCCAATGATTTCCTCCTCCAATTTCAACCCTGCTTTGCGAAGTGACTGCAGCAAATCTTTCTGTGTGTGGGGTGGAGGAGCCCCAGGTGTGTTCACAGTGTTTTGTCAAGTCAAATGCAGTATGTAAAAAATCTCTTTCAGTATGTAAGCAACCTCCTTCTCAGAACTCTGTCAGCTTTTAAGGGTTTTAGCCTAAGCTGCTCTTTGGAGGCTGCTCCAGAGCTGGATCCTCTGAAGGATGAGGATGTTTTTTTCTGATTATTATCTTAAATTTATTTGGGAACAGCAATTATCCATCTATTCTTAAGCCAACCTTGTCCCTCACCTTAAGCAGCACTTTAACTTCACTGATGGCACCCTTCAGTTCTCCCTTCTGGCTTTCCCCAAGATGCATTTAGAGAGTGACTTTGTTGAGATAAATGTTGACCCCCCATCTCTCTGAAGTTCTGGATGCTCAAGAAGGATTTCTTGGCTTGTCTCAGTCATGAGCCAAGATTGGGTTTTGCATCACATGCTGTGCTTAAAGTTCTTGAAATAATTTTTGCTGCCATACCTGAAGTAATTTCATGTCTTGTTACTCCAGCTGCAGTTACCAGTGGATCAGGAACAGGGAACACTGATCACTTTAAGATTTCACTTCACAAAAATCCAGGCAGGCCAGCATTTTAATTCAAACATGACCCTTTTTATACCTTTTTTTTTCCCCTCCCCGCTCCCCTAAATGGAAATTATCAGTCTGAGAGTCTGGATTTATTGCAGAAATAATTGGGCACATTGACACATTTTAATTGGACAGATTTCAGGGTGTCACAGTGCAGATCTGACAGCTTCATCTGGGCTTGCATCTCGTTCTTGGCCAGCAGGGTAGTCCATACCATGCTGCCACAGTAATTAATCAGCTCAGGGCTTTGTTAGGATCCCTGTGTGGGTATGAGTTGCACAAAAGGATCTGCTGACTTGGCTTTTTAGCTATAAAGTAACTTGACAGTGCCCATTCCATTCCCAAAACAAATGACTGAGACCTAGAAAAAGAAGCAGATTTAGAAGCAGGTGTGCACTGCTTCAGGAGAAAAATAAGTGCTGTGACTGAAATCTGTACAACCACTGAAATTGCTTAATCTTGCTTTTGACTCATACTTCAGAGCTAGCTAATGAAATCCTTCCGGCTTTTTGAGGTTGGAATGTAGAATTGTGATGGCTTTATTTATTATTTAATACTACTCTTGCCTGTCACAGCCTCATCTAATATTTGAATTGCTTGGGTTTGACTCTTTGTTCGTGTGCCACAGGGCATCAGGAGCAGGCAGCCATCAGCCTGTGAAGCAGCTCCGCACCATTTTAATCTGCTCAAGCTTTCAATCAGGTTTGATGGCACAGTGAGAAATGCTGCCTTAATTCATGTGCACTGCACTGTGTGTAGTGACAGTCACAGGGTGGGGACAGCAGCACATGCCTTGACATTTGTGCTCCCTCCCTGCATTCCTGATGTTCTTCCTCCTTGCTCTGAACTGGGAACTATTTCTTGCACTACCTGAGTGGCACAGGTGCCAAAATTTTGAAGTCTGTCCTGGGAAAGTGGTGAACACCTCCAATTCCTGTTGAGGTCAAGGAGAAGTGTACAAATGCCCAGCATTTCTCTTCCAGGCCACCTTTCAAACAATCGCTTTTCACAAAAACTTTTTTTTTTTTTTTTTTTTTTTGCAGTCTTTAAAACCTTTAAAAGCACAATCTCTGCTATCAAGTGCTTTCAGGTCCTCTTGGTTTTTTGGTGGTTTCAAATTGCAGGGACTCCTGGAAATGGAAAACAAGGGGAAGGCTGCAATCAGTCTTTTCAGATGCAACCAGATATAACCTAGAGCTGTGGTGCATAAACCCTTGGTGCTGTTTTTAAGTACATGGATACAAAGCTCCAAGGAAAGTAGTGTGAGACTTTTACTCACTTTTTAGTATTCCCTTTAAAGCGACAGTAAAATAAAAAGGTGTTCAAATGTAAATGTGTGCCCATTTATTTTCAGCTCTGCTGAAGAAAACTCTGCTTGTAGCCTACTGCTGTTCTCCCCCTCATACTGATGGGATGGAGGAAATGGCTGTGCTGGGGCTTAGCTGCTTCTTGGGGCCAACTGACCGCAGCTGGTTACTCTCTTTCCTGGTTAAGGAGAGTTAAAAAACAGTTTTGAGCCTCCCTCTTTAATTGGCATCTTCCCTTAAAACTTCTTGCTCACAGTAATACGTAGCTGGTTTAAAGTGCTTTGCACTTCCTTAGCACTTCAGAAGTGTTCAAGCAAGTTCAAAGCCTACATCCTGAACAAAAAGAAAAAAAAGAAAAAAAAATTTATGAACGTATTTTTTGTATTTTTTGTGTTGTAAATTCCTGAGTTGTACATGAGACAGGACTTCTGCTGCCAATGTGTATCCCACTTGCAGAAATAAGAGAACCAAAGTGTTTAGGGATGCATGAGCCTCATCTGGCTCTGCTGGCCCCAAAAACCCATGCTGCAGAAGGAGGTTTGACCCAACCCTACACCTCACATTGGCAAAAAGTACAGGGCTGGATAGTTTTCCTGTTCAAATATTGACTTGTGTGATGAGGTTTGGCTTGGTTTATTTTATTTTTTTTTTTAATTAGAAGACCTCAATGTACTGTTGTAGGAACTTCTTTCACCTCTGCTATCTCAAATCCTGTTTATAGAAGGGTGGGTGTGTGGGCTTGATAGCTGTTCAACCCTAACCTTTGCTTCAGCAGCTGACTTTCAGGCACTCTGTTTCTCAAGATTAATACCCTCTTAATAAAAATAACCTTGAGTGCATTGAACTCTGCTTAAACGTGGGGGTATCTGAAAACAAGTTGAAAATGGCTTTGCAAATGTTATGAGCAGAATGTTAAAAAAAAATTCCTAAAATAGCATGGGAAATGTTAAAATAATTTCTGCACGTTTACATATTAAGAAGGGAGTTTTTCAAAGAAGCCAGTGGGCAAATGCTAGGAGCTGCACTACATGAAACATTTCTCAAGGCAGCCTTTACCACAGCTGAATAAATGACATGGTGGGTACAGATAAATGTGGACATCAGCAAGGCGGAGAAATTCAGGTCTCTAGTGTTGCCTAAAATACAAAGGAAAACAATATTAAGAGTAGTAAGATAAAAAGCAGCTCTTTAATGAAAACTTTCAGGTGCACAAAGTGTAGGTATGCAAGTGAGTGATACAGGATTTCTACAATTTAAAAAATTAATTAGTATTACTAATAATAAGGTTAATTAATTCGTATATTTAGCAGGTGAATGCAATGAGAGACCTGTTGCCCTGGGGTCTGTCCCTTGGAGTTGGTCCAGGGGGTTGTTTGCCCCACATTTTGTTATGCCTCTCAAATTCTGGTGACAAACAAGGTTTCCTGGTTAAAAGTTCTCTTCTTGAGAGTGAGGCTAAAGAGAATTCCAAGAACCTGTTAGAAAGGGTTGGCTTCTTATTCTGAAATGTGAGAGAGGGCAGGGAAAGCGTCGGTGATGGAGAGAGACAGGGAAGTCTGATTTGGTGATCAGAACCTGATGTATTTTGGGATATAAACATTTATATACTATTTTAGGGAGGCTAATAATGTTTCACTATAATGATTGGGTTAAAGATCACATAAAAAACTTACGCATTTTAAACATCTCTTGCTTGCAGAGATGGTGTAATTTTCTTTTTCTGGCAAACCAGTCTGATTGAATCTTCTTGCAATACTGAAAGTTCTGTTTGCTTTTGCCAAGGCATGATGTTATCAAATCTCTTACGTTAACCAGGTCCAAAGTCCATCATCTCTCTTGTGCCCCCCAACATTCCAACATTTCTCCCTTTCCTTTCAAACAAGACCACTCCTTTGCCTTATTAATTAATCTATGCACAGATTTAAAGGTATCATGATTAATATAATAATCACATACATACCTTTCCTAAAAAGAATCTTTTAGTTAAAAACCTCCAGCCACTAAAAGGCTCAGGCTCGATTTTTATAAACTAAAAACATTCCTGATGGCAGCTACATTACTGGAATTAGAAAGGCTGCCAGAAGTATAATTGCACCAAAAGACTTGATTCTTATACACAGGGTGACAGGGAGAAAGGTTTAAAAAGTTTTAGACTGATTTCTTCGCATGTATTTAAAGTTAACATAAAAACACATTTTAAAAGTTTTAGACTGATTTCTCCCCGTGTATTTAAAATTAACGTAAAAATCCAATTCCAGAGAACACAGGAACTCTATTTCTTGGGGTTCCAAGGGTGTTTCAGAAGGGCAAGGGATCAGATTTGATGCGATTGGATTTGCTTTCAAAATTTTTGGTGTAAATATTTGTAGAGTTCTGGAGGAGCTATAGAAAAGTACTATAGAGCTATACATTAAAAACCTACAGATCCATGGGAGGCATCCCTGGGGGACGCCGAAGGCCACGCCTGTGTTCAGTCCTACAAGGGTTGGGTTTGTGCTTGAGCTGGGGGGAAAATAAATCCTCCCTGTGCTGACACGTGCCTTGGCTGTGTTGTGCCTGTGCAGTGGCTGAGGAACCCGGGCCCCCAGCACGAGAAGAGGACTCTCTTTGGGGACATGGTGTGCTTCTTGTTCATCACCCCGCTGGCCACCGTCTCCGGCTGGCTGTGCCTGCGAGGAGCCGTGGACCACCTGCACTTTAGCAGTAGGCTGGAAGCTGTTGGCCTCATTGCACTCACTGTGGCACTCTTCACTATTTACCTCTTTTGGACCCTGGTAAGTGTCAGGGGGTTTGTGTAAATCACAGGGGAACAGGGGAAAAAATGGGAAAATGAGGCGCACAGAGCGCGATGGCATAGAGCTTTGCTTCTGTTTGTCCCCTGTGCTGGTGAGTGCGGACTGCACCTGCAAGAAACCTCTTGTTTCCACACCATTTAGGCTCCCTGGGACACCAGAAAGACAGTTTACTTTGGGGTAAGGATTCTCAAATGCCAAATACCAGTGGGGACAGCAGGAGGGAGGCAGGGAAGCAGCATGGGGGAGTTCAAGACAGATGCTGCAGTGTTGGGACCCTGGATGCTGAGAATTTTGGACTTTCTGTGCTGACAGGCACTGACCCCCGGAGAGCACTGCATTTCACCTGAAGCCATGGAGAAGGCTTCCAAAATGGAATGATAGAACTGGGGTTATGAGTGTATAGTATGGATAAAAGTGTGTAATATCTCAGAGCAGAGAACTTAAAGTTTTAGAATATAGTAATATATGTAAAATCAGATAGAGATTTTAGGGTGAAGACTTGTCCTTCGTCTTCACCTTCTTCTTAATGAGTTTAGGTAGTATTTTGTAATTAGATAAAAAAGTCCACATTGCGGGCCACAAGTAGTCAGTTATTAAGTTAAAAGTAAAAATAATATAGATGTCATTTCTTAATTAGACAGTTTATTCTTAGAAGCCTTGTAAAGGGAGAGATACAGCTCCATTTTTAGTTAGAGTGAAGTACTATAGAACTCTCAGTTTGTGGGACTGTAATACAGATAAAAACTAAAAACCATAAGAGTCCAAACAAAAAACACCAACTCACACATTTAATGCCAACCTTAACATTAAAACCCCAAAGAATCCACACTACAGGAGGGAGTTTCACCAAAAGTGATATGCAAAGGGTGAAGACACAGCACACACACACACAAAATAGATTTAGGTGAACAACTTGGCTGCCACAGAGGATTCAGATTTCATTCTAATGCAACATCTTGCCAATTTTACAATTCAAAAGTGTGAGATGTGGCGGAAGTGAGAACACACACTTGCCCAGGTCTGTAAAAATATAGCTGCTTTTCCAGTGCACGTTAAATTGCATCCTGCATCCCAGCATGAGTCACTCTCATGCCAATCCATCCTGAGAGCCACTTGTTCTGTCAAGGTGTTGAATTGAGATAATTTACTGGCCCCAGTCCACTGACAGGCAGCTGGCCCAGCAGAAATGAGGGGAGCACAGGGGACAGCTGCCAAAATGGGTGTTTATCAAGCCATGGTGTAGCAGCTCCCTGAGAAGCCCAGGTTAATGCTGTGTTTGACATTTCACACCTCTTTTTGTGCAGTGGGAAGAGCAGGGTGGGTGCAGAGGGGGAGCACACACAGCAATGTACTCAGATGGTGCCAGGATATGCTGCTGGGGCAGGAGAAGCCCAACCTGCCCATGTGTGTGTCCTGATTCAGGGCAAATTTGGGAGAGAACCCCCAAAGGGGTTCCTCTAGGAAAGCAGATTCAAGCGGCCTGTCTCCCAACTGGGCCTGGAGAAAATACCTCCTTGGAGAAAAGTAGAAAAAACTGTTTATTAAGCAATCAATAAAACCTCTTGCTGCTCCAAAAGACAGACAAACTCACAAAGTCTCCTCCATGGGCTGTGGCTCAGCTCACTCAGTCTCCTGTCAGTCCCAGGGGTGCTGGAAATGCCACGGCCCAGGCCCGGCCCAGTGGGCCTCAGATGTGAGCTGCCAGTGCTCTTCTGGTGTTCAGGCCAGAGCAGGTCTGAACAGGGCCAGAGAAAAGGGAAAAAACTCCACAGTCCCGAGAACTTCTTTGCCTCAGCTAGCTAAACTAACTAAAAGCGAAGGAGAGCCCTGTCCTGCTGTCTGTCCATCTGCAGACATCACAGTCTAGGAGCAGGAATGTGCAGGAGTGAGTGCAGTGTCTGAAAACAAACTGCTGCTTCTTCTCTCCCCTCTTTCACTCTTGGAACAAGTCTTAAAGGTGCAAAACTCATTATTCTGCACAAACAGAACATGACAACTGGGGATAAAAGCATCATATAGTCAAGCCAGGACACCGTGGCATGGCCCCATCCCTCAGGGCCAGCACACAGCTCTGCCCCTCGCTGGCTACGTCCATAAATACCCAGATCCCTTCCAGCAGATTTGGACCTGTGTAGGCTGCTGAGGAGGTGGCACTTTAAAAAAAAAAAACTGCATTGGTGGAGAAAGAAACTCTCCCTGTGCTGAGCCCCGAGGAAAAAGGGGTGTGAGGGGAGCACAAAAACCCCACACCTCCTCACGAGTATCTCCAAGAAAGCTGTGAAAGGGAAATCTCATTTGCACATTTGTGAACACTGTCTCACCCACGGAGGAATGCAGGCAGGAGGGGAAGCTCAGAGCTTTGTCTCAGCCTCGTGCAGTTCATCTTTTTTGCTGTTTTCTGCTTTTCTGTGAGGCAGCAGCACTCTCCTGAGACAGGCCATGTACTCCAGCAGTGAGGCCACACTTGTTTTTCCTGAAGTGCTGGGTGTAGATGTGCCTGGTATGCAAGCACATATTGCTCAAATTTGCTTTGTGTGTGGCTGTCTTGGAAACCAAAATGCTGAACAATTTACCTAGCACACTTAATTCACCATCACCAAATTGTTGGAAGTGGTAAAAGGCATTTTTTTCAGGTAGATTTAATTCAGCCATGACACAATCTTGTTTATTAAGACTAATGCAGCATCCCAACTTTGGTCCCTATCCCTGGGTGTTGCATTTGCAGACTGAGAGGCAAAAATCCCTTACATTCACTTTATAAATTTTACCCCTTCTAAAGCACACAGGAAAATGTGCTGTTAGCTCTTTGAGAACATGCTAGTGATACTGAGCCTTATATAAATACATACCTTGGTAGATTTAACCAAAATTCAGTATCTTTGATGCTCACTCACTTGTGGACAGCTGTAATTCCATTTAAAATTGTTATTTGGGGCAGAAGGAGATGGATGGGCTAAGGGAGCACTGTGTTCACTTGAGAAGGACAAGGTAAGGAAGGCCTTTAGGGGAGTGAATCACCAAATAATTGGAGCTGGGAGGCAAAATAACTTTCCTTTCAGTGAGACAGGAAAGTCCCAGCTTGGGTTTGCCTTGGGGTGGGCCTCAGGCTCCCCTTGTGTGCAGGAAGGAATGGTCCCACACACAGAGAAGTGTTAATTTCATCGAATTCTTCAGCAGCACATGCCCTGTCACTTTCAGGAGTGGGAGAATCCTGTTACATAGCTATGGCTGTGCAGGGAATAGGTTCAGAGCTGCGGGGTAAATTACACACAAGATGACACAATAGTCCTTTAGGTCCTGGAGAAATGAAGAGAACTAAAACTTTGTTTTACTTCCAGTAAATCAGCCTTCCTTCTCTGGAGGCAAAAGCTGGCATACAGATTATTTACACACCACAGTTGTCCCAGTGAGCAGCAGGGCTGTTATTTTTAGCATCCCAGAAGGTGTTTTATCCCTCCCTCTAAAACAGACAAGTTATCCATAAAACACTGTTGCTTTTTACTCTGTATTTTTAACACCCACACACACACCCACCAAAAAAGGCACCTGGTCCTCCCAAGAAGAAAACTCCAGACACCAAAAGGGGATTCTTACTTAGACTAAGAATTTATATTTAAATTTAAATTTTACTTTTAAAAGTAATTTAATTTAAATTTAAATTTTAAAACTTTGCTTTCTCTTGTATAACATACATACCTAGTTTAACACTGCAGCTATTACTCAAAGAATCTCATGTTGTGCTGCTTGAAAACCCAACCTGAGCTCCAGTTCACTCTCCTGAAGCTGTCACTGCATTTTACAGGGCATCCCTTTGCAGATGTTGGGGTGTTTTCACCCTCCTCACTACTCCAATTGATTTCTGCTCCTCCTGCAGTGTATTTTGAGAAAAGATATCTCATATTCCTTCACACACACTGCTCCACGGAAAGAGAAAGATGCAGGATGCTTTTCTTCAGGGGGAGGAGAGGAGGTTGAAAGTTGTGGGGATCAATATGAAGAGATGTCTTTGCAAAAAACTGCTCAGTAAACCAAAGATTTATAGGTTTCCCTCAGACAACTGCAAAAAGATCTAATTAAAAAAATATAAGTATTTGTTAGCCATTGTAGGATGTAGTAGGACATAATTGAAAGGTACATTTCTTTAGTTAAAAGGTACATTTCTTTAGTTCTTTTTGCAGTATGGAAAGGATACAGTGCATGGGTCAACTCCTGCCCACAGCTCAAGAAGAAAACAATCATCACTTGGCACATTTCTCTCAAAATTTACAGTTTGTTCTTAGTTTTTTTGTGGCTTTTTGTGGTTGTTTTTTTTTTTTTTTTTTTTTAAACTGCACATACACGTCTTCTTACACAGCTACAACACCCACAATGCTTGGCTGCCACTAAAACAAGTCGTAAACTATTTTTTAAAACATGAGGCCAAGCTATCTTGCATCTCCACAGCAATCACGTATTTCCACATAAAGGTTGAAACACCTGATAACAACAACAACAACAAAAAATAATTTCCAGAGACAATCTAAATTGAGGCACACCCGTTGTCAGCTCATTGCCTCTGTGCAAGCCCAACTTTGGTGCATTCAGCAGTAAAGTATTACAAGGTAAAACACACCTGTGTTCATCTGCCTGCAAACAATTACATTTTTAGTCAATTTAACAACCTGAGGCAAGAGAGGATGTCCCAAATTCTTGTTCCATCAATGCCAACAGCTCTTGGGAAAGGCAGAGGTGGGATGTCTGATTTTTCAGGCGGTAAAAAAGGGGAATGGGAGGCAAAACAGTCACAGGCTGCTTTTCTCCTGTGCTTTGGTAGCTTGGGCATGGTGGCTCTCTCTTTTCAGCAGTTCTCACCCATTCTGTCCCACTGGGAGGCACCTGGAGCCCCGTCAGGGCCCCCGCAGGGTGTCAGTGACTGAAGGCAGCTCGTGTCCCTTGTGTCCCCAGGTGTCCTTCAGGTACCACTGCCGGCTGTACCACGAGTGGCGTCAGAACAATCAGCGGGTGATGCTCCTCATCCCAAAATCTGCCCACGGCCCTTCCACCCAGCAGTCCCTGCTGGGCCTGCAGCCCCTCAAAAGGAGCTCCAAGGAGACAATCGTGTGATTTGGGCTGCAGCTGCACACTAAAGGAGGTTTGTTTTTCCTCAGACCTGTAGGGGTCGGGCACCCAGCACCCAGGAATGTGCAATTTGGATTTACAGACTGAGTGCAGAAGGATAAACCACAGCCAGAATTCAAGTTGTGGATGCTGCAGTCATCTGTGGCATTTGCTGACCTGCCAAACGTGTTTAGTGAGCAGGGACCCTATGGATTCTGCATATATGTTAATTGTTGCATCATCGAGTGATGCAAACATTTTTATTGTCTAAAGTATTAAACTATGGTAATTAACAATGCAAAACAGGTTTAAAAAGTGCTTTGTTTTCATGATTTATTGCTCCTACAGTACTGTTTCTTTAGGCAGCTGGACAGTAACCAATATTCATTTCTGCTTCCTAAAGTGCAGCAATGGCATTTCCTCATTTGATTTTATCTGCAGGTCCATTATACCAATGTTTTGATTATTAAAATCTGTGTGCAATGAGCTCTACAAATTGGCACATTATTTAAATGCTACAAAGTGATTGGAAAATTGTATTACCAGTTTCTTATTTGGCAGGGAAGGTCTGACAGGAAGATTCTTCAGTTATGACTCTAGCATGCGCAAGAGAAAAATTACACAAATTGCAATAATCTTCCTGTCAAAAGTATTATAGTACATAGCACTCAGGAAAAAAAAAAAAGATATTCTACTTTCCCACGAAGAAGCACCACATTCTTCAGTGAAGTGCACATTCTGCTGGTGTGAATTCAAACTTAGCCAACATATCCTGCATTTATACCAGGCTGAATTTAACTCTACAGCTTACTTTTGTGTAGGGAAAGCTCTGCATGCATAATGAATGAGATCATCGGATAAATTTTAGGAAGCAGGGATTCATCTTGCATGAAGAACAGCATTATTTTAAAGCAGCAGAAACTCCAGCTTGACAGGTAGGATTTGGCAGAGTGTGTGCAAACCCTGACCTCTCATGGTAGCACTGAGACAAAAAAAAAAAATTAAAAATATTTAATAACACAGTCTTCTATGGAGACCAAATGGAATTTGGAGTGTAAAATCAGACCTTATTCCTGGGTGACTTTATCTGCTTCCCCTTGGTTTTTTATGCCTAATTCATTCAGCAATCCTTCACTCCCAGAAGAGACACACTTATTTTAAATAACTAGCAAAACCTCATTGCCGAATGCTGCTAGAATTAGAAATTGATACAGAGCCCCTCTGACCAGATGAATTTCTTAGAATTGTACATGGATGGCAGTACCACCATGTGCTTTATTTTCCAAAAACTGCAGGAACTGAAAATCAAAAGGAAGACATAGCTGGAAGGCTAATAATTTGATATTCATAAATTTCAAGGTTTTATGGGTATTTACCATCAGACAAGAAGTTATCTGATGTTTTGTGTGTGCTCTGTGGGGGTGAAAAAGCTTAGTACACAAAGCCAAATCTGTTAAATTTCTTTATTCTGTCTGTGGACCAGTCTAGCTGTGAGCATGTTATTTAACGATGTTCTTTGTGACTGTCAGTCATGGGGATAGGAGAATCATGGGGATATAAAGCAATAACAGCCTCACTCCAATAGAAAGGCACTTACACAACGAGCCAAGGTGTGTAGGAAAGCCATGAACCTGCAGATCTGTACTCATCAGTCTGACAAGGCTGGGGTTGCTCATGTTTGGCTGTGAATAAATGCTTCTCTTCCTGAGAAAATTAAACAAGGCTCTGAAGATAAGAAGATCACAGTCTCTGTGAAAGCCTAAAACCTGTAATGCTTTATTTTTTTTTTTTTTATACCTCTTCCTAATGGTAAATAATTATTTGGAATGAAGACTGAACACTCACTTATGCAGAATTCCAGATTTTAAATAAATATCTGCTGGCCAGGGGTAAAGAAATAAAGCAAATCTAGCTGGGTCAGGATGCTGTCAGTGTTTTAATGCCTACAACTTTAAGCTTTGTTCAGAACGTTATTACCGCTCTCAAATTCTTTGAAAGAATTGTTATTCTTAATGAGTGCTATTGTTGGCTTTGCCTCATGAAACCACAAATCAGGGTGGATAGGGAATTAAGTGGCAAAACATTCAAGGAAACATTTGTTCAAGTGAAGCTGCAAGGTCTGTGCACAGAGATCAGCACAGTGGCTTGGCCCAGATCATCTGTGTTATTTCAATTTTTTTTTAATTAGTTTTTTGGTTTTGGTTTTTTGTTTGGGTTGGTGGGTTGTTTTTTTTTTTTTTTTTTTTTTGTGTAAAGACATCTTTACTTACCTGAAGAAGGCATATTGAAGCAGACAGAGAGGAAAATGCATGGTCCAGTTCAGCACACACATCACTAACCCAGTTTCTGTGCTTGATGCAGCAGCACAGCAGAACTGTCTGGTGAAGTCACAGTAGCGTCCCATGGATTTTCTTGAGGAAAAAAAAGGGGCAGGAAAAATCCAGTCAGACACTTAACATTGCATTAAACTCATGAAAAAAAAACCATCCTTGTATTCTTCCTTTTTTCCTAAAACTGAAGAACTGGGAGGTGAGAGATGTTACCTCTTAATCCCACTCCTGCTCTAAAGATTTACAGACAGAAGGATCTCCCAGATGGGAGCTGATTTTTCTTCCACGAGTTGATGATGTAGATGCCACACCAAGCCCAAATTTCCATTAAAAACTGGATTCTTACAGCAGATTAGTAAAAAATATGATTACAGAATATTTTCTACAACAGCAGCAACACCCATTTCTGTCTGAATAAAAATGAAAGACAAAATTAATCACAGCAGAAGCTGCAGCCAGCAAAGCTCCTGGTAGTACAATTACATTTTTGTTATGCTCTCCTTAAAAAACAAAATTAATTAAAGAACATATTTAAAGACAGGGTGAGTGACCACCTTTTTGTATTTTAAAAATGTCACTCAACTGCTCTCTCAGCAACTTTATGCTTTCTTCTCATGCAGCTGACCTTGTAATTTACATTCCTTTTCCAGATAAGAAGTTACATGGAACCAACAGTATTCAACAATATTTGAGCCAATATTTTCAGTTGCAAATGATAAAAGCAGCCTGCTCTGATTCAATGTGATGAATACAATGCACAATGAGGAAGTTTTACTTTTTTATATAGTCTTTCCCCTGCAGGACTTGCCTATCACATTACATGAAGATTGAGAAATACCCCAGCTTTCTGTTCAGCTGGAAGGAAGTCACAACAGAAGCAGTTATTAAAGATAATTCAGTTTTTGGTGTTGTTTGGGTTTTTTTTTTTTGGTTACTCAACTGAACAGTTCTGCCAGACTGAGACCTCAAAATGTGCTTTACATTTCATTTATTTAAACCAGCTTTGCACCAGGACAAAGTCACACAGAGCAAAGTGACAACTCTGCAAAAAGGGACCTGGAGCCAATAAATGCAACTGGCCTTTGATGCAATGGGTACCAGCAGAAAAAGGTTTGAGAACAGGTACTGGGACACACTCAGGCACTAAGAGAGCTAAAAAAGCTCTCCCTTTGAAATAAACAACAAAAAAAACCCCTGTTAATAATTAAACATCTTGATTTGCTACTTTTTGTGAGATGGCGCTTCACTTAACACAGAACTGGTTAATTAAAGAAGCATTTTCCTTGTGAGCAGAACTGAGCCCTGCCTCTTTACTGCCATTTATTGGGAATTCAAAAGTATCTTTAAAACTACAAGGCAAACTCATAGAATCACACAATTTTTAAGTCTGGAAAAGATGATGCATCGAGTCCAGCACTGCCACGTTGACCACAAACCATGTCCCCAGGTGCCACACCCATAGGTTTGGTTGAAAAACTCACAGGGGATGATAATTCCATCAGCTCCCCAGGCATCCCATTCCACCCCTTCAGTGAAGAAACTTTTCCCAATATCCAGTTCAAACCTTTCTTGGAGCTCCATGGGGTTGCTGTGAGCCGAGGGCAGGACCCAGCACTGCCCCTGGCTGTCCCTCAGCCCACGGATCCGGCCTGTCCAGACCCCTCCTGCCCTCCAGCAGATCCAATTTAGTGTTATCTCCAAATTTACTGAGGGAACACCCCAGATCAATAGAGATAAATAATAACCAGAGCTCGTCCCAACACTGATGGCGACATCTCACTGATCCACTGTGTTATTCCACATTTCAAATTTAAGTCTCATGTGCGTTTCCAAATGAGACAGCTTTTTTAAAAAAATCAAGGGTTACATCTTAAAGCAGGTTACATCCCTTAACCTTCGTTCAGGTATTGAATCTTTTGCTGACAACCTCTCCTCCACACTTACTTCTGGCAAGGCTACTTCTGTCCTCCCTTTGGTGTTGAAAGATTACAAAACCAAAGGGAATTTTCTTTATTCTAGGTGTACCAAATACTTTCCCAATAAAACTTGTCAAAATAGAGACCAAATGTTGATATCCTATGTACAAAATGCCCTTAGGAGCAACAGCAAAACACACCAACCTCAAAAACAAGATGCTGCAGTTGCAGGGGAAAATCAATGTCACAGTTTAATCCCAAAACTTCTATTATTATGCAGAAAGTAAGACTTGCTTGCCAAAAATAATATTGTTTTGTTCTAAAAGTGCAGAACCGCTACAAAAACTCACATCCAAGAGTTAATTTTTAATTGTAGGAAAATTCTATCAGTCAATCATCCTAAGCTGTAATGTGCCTTACTGATGCCCCAAACACAGCTTTTCTTTGGGGTTAATCACAGTGTTTTTATCACACAGGAATCCTGCATTTATGCAAACCCGCTAAAAAGAAACCAGGAGATCAGCAAAAGGCTCTGAGCAATAAATGCACACCAAGCAAAACCTGAGATAAAATAGCAAACTTCTGCCATAATCCTGTGATGGAGCTAGTTGAGTATTATAAATAATTAAGTGTCCCAGCCTTTCCTCAATGTCCAGGAAAGGCTAAATAAGCATTCACATCCATCACACTCAGCCTCCACTCCCTTTCTAAAAACCACCAGCTATTACCACTTGTCCTCTTTGGGACAGGGGCTTTAAGAGCTTTTATTCTCCATCACCTACTTGATTTCTTTGCCTGGAGAAAAATCCTTCATAGTTATCACGTGGCCATTTCCGTAAAAGCAGCTGCATTTAACTTGAAGTACAGATACAGCTTACAGCGCAATATGAATATGAAATGCAGTGTTTCACAGATAAAAACCATCCTCTTCAATCCAGAAACCCCTAAATTAGTATCAAAATGATACACTGATAAGATAAATTTTCATGGGAAAAAATGTAACTAAGACTAGCATTTAAAGTTGCATAATTTAGAGAAGGAAATGAATAATTAACATCTGTTGAACAGAATTTACTGATTAACTTCTCTGCCCATATTTTGCTGTCTGCTTGGAGCAATGTGATGTAAAATCATGAACAAGGAAAAACAAAGCAAAAACCAATTTTTAGCACAAAACTGCTGTCAACAGCACCATAAACTAATTTACACCCGCTTTGACTACACTGGGGTTTTTATAATGAATGGGGTTTTTATATTCTGGAAAAAAAGAATGCAGTTCACAAGTTTGCTGCACAGGTCAAACCACTTGTTTCCTAAATTCCTAATCTGTTCCTTACAGGAGTGAGTGTATTTGAGCAAAACCATTTCTGGTAAAATGTTTATCCAGCAGCAAGCAGTAAATTGCCAAACAGTTTTCACCTGTAGACGATGCAATTTTCTAATGCCAGAACCAATGATAATCAAGTTATGGAAGTTGCAGGGAATGCAGGGAGGGTTGGGCTGTTGCTGTACAAGTATTAAAAAAGAACAAGCAAAACAAGACCTCCACCTTGTGGCAGCATGTTTCACAGTTGTGTTTCCCAACACTCCCTTCTTCTAATTTACAGTAATTCTTGCCACAGCAATGAAAAAAGGAAGAATTATTCTAAAATCTGCATTTCTCCCATTGTCGTCAAAGAACAGGGTCTACAAAAGCTATAACCAAGAATTTGCAAGCAGGTTCCTACCATAACTTAAGAATTGTCCATCAACCCCTCCCTTTCTACCTTCTGCTGGCACATGGTTGAAATTCCACCAGAAAAGGGCTCATCCAAGGTGAAAGACATGCTAAAAAAACCCTTAATTTTGCCATGAAAAAAACCAGTCCAGTCAATTAAAAAAAATTCCAATAAACTTCCATAATTCTGGCTTTGCATTTAAAACAATACATTCAGGCTAAGTCAAAGATAACTATTTTACAGCACTTTTAAATTTCTCTTTATATTACTGTGTTCGCTCACATTGCTTAGGCCTGGTACTTGCAGGAGGCAGTAAAAGCCAGTCCAGGAAGAACAGAACCATCAGCCAAGATGAGCACAAATGCAACAGAGTGTGAATAAAGCTCTAAAGAACTGATTTTCCAAATGTGAAGCAGTATCAGTCATTATTCAGAAGAAATCTTTGCACCTCAAATGCCACTGTTCCATTTAATGGATGTTTCTTCAGCTTCAAAGCCCATCAAATTTTAAGGATTCAACGCTCATTCAACTTTGAGCTCAGCTCTAGGAAGAAACAAATTCCAAAAACTTTACTCTGTAGCACAGACATACTTTATTTAAATGTTTTTCAGACATTGGAATAATGTGAAAAGGACAGAAAAACTTTCAACATTGGCAAAATTAAAACTGTTTTCCATACAAATGTAGACTAGACCTCTAGAGACTTTGTTTTGTTACTAAAAGTTGTAAACAAATAAGGCAATCCATATTAAAACAGCTTTCTAATTTGTTAGAAAAAACCACATAAAAATTTAAGGGGGTAACACTATCTTAACAACACAACTACAAGGTGTAACATGAATCCTCTTCCAGAATTAAAAACTCTAAACCAACAGCACCTAAATTACAAAGAGGTCGTAGCAACTAGTCTAGAGTGGTATAATCTAAAAAAAATCGATCCCCAAAACACACTGGAATATTCCTACTCCAGCAAGGTTTCAATGAAGAGAGACTGGTGTATAAATCTGAGAGAGAGAGACAGGAGCATCTGCTGAATGCTCCTCATCAGGAGCTCACAGCTCACATCCTGCCAGGAAGTCGAGATGCTTGTGACAAACCTTCCTTTTTCCTTTGTTGTTTTTTTTGTCTTTTTTTTTGTTTGTTTGTTTTTTTTTTCAGTGGCAGAGGAAGTTTAAGGCCATCAGACTCGCAGCTTTAAAAATTCACAGACAGGAAAATAACGTTGTGCTTCTCAGAAGGCTCTGTTCTGCAGGCAGGGATTACCACGGCTGGAGGAGCCTGGAGTGGCTGGAATTTCACATGACCACACAGCTTCCTTTGGATGCCCTTTGCTCTGCCTGTTGAGAACAGGGAGAACCATTTAAAACCAACAACAACAAAAAAATCACCCAGAAAAACCCCCCAAAAAACCAACAAACCACCCAGCAGCAAAATGCTCAAACTGCTTTTCTACTCAAAAGAATCTACTGTGCTTTTTAATATATAGTATTAAACAAGTATGTATTAATTTTATATTAATTATATATTAATTATAACATATATTGACTATATATTGACTATATATTGACTATATCATTATATATTCATATATATTCATTATATATTCATTATCTCTCAAACATACATTAATTATATATTTTTATACAGTCAATTATATTTTTAAACATTTAATTATATTTAAATTATATATTTAAATTAGATAATATTATATTTAATATATAATTAAATTCATATATACATATACGTATACATTTGTATATACATACATATACACACACATATATATACACATATACATATATATACACATACATGAAATTATTGCCCTGGCAGGGTACAAATAAGAGACAGCAAAGCTGTACAACCTGTTTTATCCTGGAATTAAAACAATGTTACATGTCCTTTCCTATGGAGGAGTAATAAGATGACAGGCATCAGAAAAATACAAATAATTTCTATATTTGAATCAGGGAGCATAAAGAAGAACCTTGTGAGGTTCTATATAATAAATCTAACATTGCTGATTTCCAACACAGTTCTTGTTTTTTTTGTTTTTTTTTTGATCTTCAGAACTTCATTTTTTTTTTCAGCATGCCAGGCACATTTTCTCTCAAAGAGTTTTCAAATCTCAAATTATCTCAATCAAAGAAAATATGTGAGTATCTCTCTTTATCAGAAAAAATATTTGAATATAAGACACTAACATGGCCTTCTCTATGAGAGATAAAGAGAGATTTAAATTCTGAAAACTTTTAGTAAATTTAGCTGCTTAAGCCAAGCTCTGTTATAAATTGGCATGGGGGGTAATCTTAAGAGGAACAGAGTTTAAGGGGAGGAAAAAAAAAATCCCCATATCTTAAACTTTTAAAAAAAATGTACTTTTCTGCAAGAGGATATGTTAGGCAATATTTTCAAAAAGACAGCTCCATGCTTTCCTTAATTACTGATTTTAAAAAATAAAATAAATTAACATCTGCACTCAATTTTTAGTTTTTTGTTTTAAGAATTCATGACTTAAATCTCAATTTTTTCAACATAAATAACCTTGTTAGCCCTAAAAGAAAATACCTGCTGACGGTAAATGTCTTCCTCATCCAGAGCTTCAGCTACTTCTTCCTCAACTTCTTCATCTTCCCCTTTACGTGCTGTTGTTTTGAACACAGTGCTTCTCTGAGCAACCTCCTGCAAGACAGTTTTAAGACTCGAACTCGTCAAAAAAACAACAATTACAAAATCTCCTGTTTCTCACCTGCTCGGGACTTCTGAGAAATGAAAGCTCCAGCTGCTGGGAGAACTCCTTGTACTCATTTTGTTTGTACACTTCTCAAGCATTGATCATAAGCAGCTTAGTTTTAAATATCTTAAAGATTAAAAGGACTGTTTCTGACACCACAGTCATCAGGTCCTTCCAAAATATTATTTTTTCATATATATTTAAATATTTTCTTTCACTTGCAGCATGTCACAGCAACTATCCCATCCCAAGTTTTAGTAACCCCTCATTGTTTCATGTGGATTTCACTGTGTGATTCCCCATTCCTCATAAGCACACAGGTTCAAGAAAAACTGATTTAGAAGACTGATCAAGAATTTACCAAAACTCTCTTTTCAAGGTGTGTTCTAAGGCACTGCCCAGCTCCTGCCATGAGGAAGGTGCCTGAATATGTAATTTTTTCACTATTTAGACTCAATACAGAGTAAAAAAAAAAAAATCACAGGCTTCAGTAAAGGCATTTCTAAACTGCAGCTAGTTCTCCAAAAGGAGAAAACTTTACCAAAAAACCCCTGCAGTGCATTCCTGTATGGAGCCCTCATCTGAATCCTTGTAGGTGATGCCACCTAGAGAGAGAAAAAATCTCACACAGATCTGGGGTGCTTTACCTCTCCCTGAGAATTCTTCAGCACAACTTTCACATCTTCCCCGGTGCCCCAGGAATTCTGGTTCTTCCAGATGAGGTCAGTGGGAGGGCTCGCAGTTACTCCAGCATTTGCAGCCCAGATCTGACAACACAAGTCACACAGGAACATATTTTGCCATATTTTACCACATTTCCAAATTCAGTTAATGTTATTTCATTTAAGTGACGCTGTGAATCCCTTCCAGTAAGGAAAACCAAGCAAATCTAAAGTTTTGTACAATAAAGCACATGTGTTTTTAATGCAGGGACTTCAGAATATGTAATGTGACGTAAAATTTTCACCTGCACAGGGCGAAAATTTGTGCTTCACTCAGAAAATTCTGAAAAGCATCTCTATATTAATTATCCCAGCAATTAACACAACAAATGCCCAACACTAACACAGGTGATAACTTCCTGAAAACACACAGAGAAAGGACAAAACTAAAAACCCTTTTGTCTTTTTCACCCACAGAAATTGGCCTGAAGTCCATTCCAAGTGAAACCTGACCACTTACTGTAACAGTCTGGCCTGCCTTTAGTACGTATCTTGAGGTATATCTGTAACTTGCAGAAGTGTCTCCTATTTTTCGGATCATCTCCCAACCTCCCATAGGTTGATCCTAAAAAAAGGGAGAGGAAGAAGAAAAAAATTTAGTGTTTCCACTAGCATTAATTTTTCTGCTATGCAATGTAGTGTGTTTTATCTTTAAGGCTGTGACACACATAAAACTTTCAGTGAAAGGGTTTATTATCACTTGATCTTCAGCATGGAATTAGAATAATTTTAGGTTAATTTATTTTACCTCTTATTTGAAGTTAAAGCTTAATACATTCTGCTTTTGAGTTCTGATGTTAACTTAACTAATGTTTATGATTTGCATCAGTTTTGTTATCACTTGGGCCAGAGAAATACATATTAGTAACAGGTATTAAATATTAAAATCCCCTTACAAATATTTATTGTTTTTTTGAAGCACAGAATGGCAAGCAGGCTTCCTAGAAAACAAAATATTGCTGTTAGTATTCTTGAAATATTTTTACATATGCACACTTGCCACCACATGCTCCCTATGTTATTTTTTTTTCCTATCAACTACTTTAAAAGTATTAACAAATCACATACAGGTCATCTTTACAGAATGACTCCTTCAAAACAAGAGTAGGTATTTTTTTAAATTCAAAACAAGCATTTTTTCAACTCTCCCACAAACACAGGTTCTGATCATTCAACAGTTCCCACTGTCAGTCAAAATTATCTAAAATAAACAATCTTATATAATTCAATGGATGTTGACATTCAGTTTGTCATTGCACCAACACATACCATCCCTTAAGAGTGTTTTTTAAAATTTTAAAATCTATTTATTTATATAAACTGTCGAAACACTTATGAATATTCCCCAAGTACAGTTTATTACACTGCACTACAGGGAGTTGCTCAAATATCTAGACGCCCTAGAAAAGTGCTAAAAACATGAACCACCCATGGTTACTGGGAACAAAACTGATGCTTCTCCTTCCTTATGAAACAAGGGATGTGCAGGGTAATTAAATAAAAGGTGGGGGGAAAAACCTATGTGTTAAGCATATGTGTGGGGGGAAACTCAAAAAAATCCCTCAAAAAAGCAAAAAAGAGGCAGATTCTGACTCACCAGAAACAGTTTTTGACCTGGCTGAATTGAGTCATCTACAGAATGAAGTGTCTAGACCAAGAGAAATGTCAAGGTTTCTTGAATTCACTAAATGAAACCATTGCTCCCCAGGTGTGGTAATTACAGGTAATTAAAACCCACATGATCGCTGTCTGGAGGAGCCTGTCCATATCCTCACTGATTAGAGGGGACTGGGACACTTGGAACCAGGCCAGCTCATCACAACAGGCTGCCTTTTAGTGATGATAAAGGAGGGAAATGTGCTGTATGTAACAGCAAAATGTATGTAACAGCAAAATAAGGAAGTGGTTATTATTTATCAAAGAGTTCTTCATTTGTGTAGATGTGTGTACCCTCCCAACACAAATTCTAACCTATTCACAGAACCATATAATCTCAGTGGTCACTCTAGCAGTGGCTTTGGCATGAGAGTTGAGGGCTCATAAAATTGTGTGTGCAGCCAAGGAAGAAGAAAAACCATAATTTAGGGAAGCTCTATGCAGATACAAGGGACATTGGCAGTTAATTTCATCTAGACCTCTATTCTGCATATGTATTTATTTGTTTTGAGCCTTTTTAAGGCAGAAAAAGTGCTGAAAAGGCATCTAAAGCAGCCTGGTGTCTGCTTGCAGTATTTCTGATCAGGAAGAACGTCACTGGTACAGTTTTACAGGTGCATTACTTGCAAGGCAGAACGCAGAAGCGCGAGGTAATGATTTGGTGGACGGGCCACCTTGCAGTAAAACAAAAGCACCAAAAATCCTTGGGGGAAAGTCACCACCAATCCAGATCAGTGTGTGAAAGCTTTCTTTGGGACACACCAGCTCCTTAATGCCACAAGCTCTGGGGTCAAAGTGAAGCCTTGGGAGCTGCAAGGGCACCGAGGACTCCCTCTACTCGGGACACGCGCGGTCACTTCCAAACCTGCTCAGAGGTGTTCTTCAAGCGAATGAACTTCCCGTCCACGTCTATCTCCTCGATGGACACGTTCCCCGTGGCGGAGGCAGAGTGGGAAATGGTCACGCTGCTGCTGGCTTCGGACTCCTCCACGTCAATCCTCCTCCTCTTGCCGCCGGCCGTGCGCACGCTGCGGCTGGACGAGGCGTGCGAGACGGTGACCCGCGAGGAGGGGCTGGGGGACAGCTTCAGCCTGGCGTGGGCAAGGGAGAGAACACACACACACAGAGAGCACATCAGAGAACAGGGGGCTCAGGGAGGGACCTCCCTGCCCTCCACAACCCGCTGGCAGGAGGGCGATGAGAGCTGGAGGCCGGGGCGCGCTTGCGGGGAATGCGGGACAGAGCGAGAGGGAAGAGCTGAAGTGGGACAGGGATAGTGCGCACTGGGTGTCAGGAGGAATTTCTTCACTGAAAAGGCAGTCAGGCTTTGCCCAGGGACGTGGTGGAATCATCATCCAAACATCCAAGTGTTGGAAACGTGTATGCGGCACTTGGGGACACCGGGGCACTTGGGTTTAGTGCTGGCCACGGCAGTGCTGGGTCTGCAGCTGGATTCATATCTTTCCCAGCCTTAAAGATTCCATTATTTAGTTTCACTTTTTCCACCTTTTTTAAACTAAACTTCCTTTCATCTCCTCTTCTTCCCATAGATTTATACAGCAGCCTAGTAAACAAAGCATGTTACGTGAATAAGCGAAAGCTGAAGTACTGAAGAGGTGAATAAAATGTTGTCAAACAGCTGATTAATGCTCCTGGAGCAGATAATACTAATGGATTACTATATTAAGAGCATAAAAGCATTTCTGTGCATTTGTTGAAGACTACAAAGAAACAAAAACCCTAGGGAGACTTAAGCCACTGTGTGAAATTAATGCAAAAACACAGTGGCATAAAAGCTTTGGCTGTTCCATCCCCACAGTTGAGAGGAATCAGCAGAGTGTAGCTCAGAACACAGTGAAGAACAAAACTGCTTTAAATGACAGTTGTGACAGTGGTGAAAATTCTCAGTACTGGAAGAACTCTGACGCCAGATGTGGAAAAGGCAGCTGGCTGATGAGCTGGGCCATCACAATGGCTATGACTTTATTAAAATTATTCTATACTTGGGGGAATGTGGGTAACAAATAATTAACCCTGCAACTAATTTTGCAGAAGAACATTAAGCACAACACCAAGCAGGCATACAAATGACAATTCATTACTTCTTCTCCGCTGGACCTTAGGAAAGGGGAAAAGGAAAGGGGAAAAGGAAAGGGGAAAAGGAAAGGGGAAAAGATTTTAAAAATATTAAAAAGATAGATAAAAAAGATTTTAAAAAGAGAAAAAATATAAAAAAAAATAAAAAAGAAAAGGGTAAAGTAAAGGGTGTTTGCTGCCTTGAGAGCTGGTCTGATAATCAGTGTTCTTGGTCTCTTGATGACTTAGAACTCTGTCAGACAGGAGGAGGCAAAAACAGTGCCATGGAAAGCAGTCAAGCACCACTAAAAACTGCTTTTTAACAGAGAAGGAGACAAGAAAAGCACAGAGATAACAGAGACACCACCTCCTTGCCATGTCTTCCCTACCTCTCCTCTTCACCCTCCAGCAATTTCCGGTATGCATTGATCTCCATGTCAAGTGCCAGTTTAACATCCAGGAGCTGCTCGTAGTCATTCAGCTGCTCCTGCATCTGATTTCTTATCTCTGCAATTTCCTTCTCCTTCTCTGCCAGTGTTTTGCGGCAGTTCTCCTGCTCCTGGGCCAAGCTGCTCTCCAGCTCCTGTGCTCTGTCCTGCCATGCTCTGGACTAGAGGAAAAGCATTGAAAACATCAGTTGTGGTGCAGAGAAAGCCCAGCCAAGCCTCCCCGTGCTGCTCCCCTGTTGTTCAGGCAACACCAAGTTCAAAATACAGAAGTTACACCCTCCCATGAGTTCAAACTCACCCATGTGTTCAACTCCCTCCTTTCCAACTCACCTACTACAAACGTAAACACATAAAATTCCAGTGAAACTTGCAACATCTTTGGGGAAACAATGACTTTGCTCTGTTTTTCTGAGGTCTGAAAATATGCTACAGCACTTGAATTTACTACTCAGGAAAGAAAAATTGAGCTTAAGAGTTTAACACATTCCAGACAGGACACAGGAACACAGTCCTGAGCTGCACGAGGGGAGGTTTAGTCTGGATGTTAGGACAGATTTCTTCACCAAAAGGGTGGTTAGATATTGGAGTGGGCTGCCCAGGGAGGCAGGTGGAGGAATCACCACCCCTGGAGGTGTTTCAGTGCTCTGTGTTTTCCAGGTGTCTGCTCTGTGCTTTGGCTTGGTGCTGCTAATCCTGAATTCTGGGAGGCAGCTCCCCTCAAGGAACAGGGGTTGCTGTCAGTGCAAACCTGCCTGCCCATCCCCAAAGCCTCCAAGGCCTGCTCAGAGTGTGGTGATAAGCACTCCTTGAAGAAATCTGATTTGTCTCCTGCTTCAAAAATTCCATCAGGTCAGCAGATCTCTTAAAAGTGCACACCCAGAATGGAATGCTTATCAAAGAAAGCCCAAAATGATGGCAGCTTTAGGGTTTCCATAAGCGTGCTTTCTTCTGTTTCACAGCCCCTTGAGATTCATTTTTTTTCTTTAAATTAAGGAGCAGACAGATGAGCCGATGCCCCATAATCACAGAGTTTGTTATGCATGCATCCAAATTTAGGAAGTCACCACATATTCCAGAGACAGAGAAGAGGAGAGGGAGTCTCCATGTCTGACACAAGGGACCAGTATAACTGGTTGTGAATGCTAAGAGCCAGATAAGGAATTTAATAAATGGAGTTTTGTGTCACATGGAAGATCACAGCGGAGTCTACTACAGAGCTCAGTGCTGGCAACTCAAACCAGACCAGCACCAGGGATAAGAGATTTCCAAGAAAGTAATGCTTAACTTAATGCTACTAAAGTGGAAAACAAAAGTGTCCTGGCTGACTTCACTAATGCTACCGTAAAAAAACGACCTCAAAACCACAGCAAAATGGTTTATTTGGTGGAAAAATCATGGCCAAAATGACAGAAGTTGATTTTCTCTGAAGTTGAATGCCCTGAAATGAGCAACAAACACTTCTGCCAGTTCAGGAGCAAGTCCTCTGAACAAAGCTGTCACTCCTGGAGTCACAGAACAGAGGTAATTAACTTAACAAACCTCTTGACTGAACCACCAAAAGATGATGGTAATCTAAAGGCAGAAATAAGATCTAAGTGGCCAAAATTTTCCATCCAACTCTGTGGCACATTCATTTTACCACCTGATCTTTTCCAGAGACTAACCTGACTAGATAAAAGGAAAACTAGGAAGACTCTTACAAGTATCTGCCAATTTATTTGGAAAATTAGGAAATAATATCCCCCACATTTATATTTCTCACTGGAAATACACAGAATTTTGATGCCCTATTAGAGTCTACTGTACAGGAGGAGTAAAATTCAAAGTGTATCACAGAAAGGATAGAACACTACCAGTATTTTATATTAATAAAAATGTTCACATGTTTTTCTTGCGTTTTCAAGTAAGTTACAAAAGCTTACTGCAGAACCTACTCCTAACTCTTCTGATTTTCACTGTGGATTTCCCACTGCAGTGCACACAATGTTACAAGCAGGCCAGTACTGAACATATCACTTGTCATACACCATGTCATACTTCTCTGGGTGTGATCTATGCCCTCTGTAATCTAGGAATAACCAATTTCTGTTTGAGGCCCTGCCCTACAGATGCTTGAGTACAGTTTTTTGATGTTGTTTGCTCAGTCTCACATTCCTAATCTGGGCAAGATCTTGTCAACAGTTTTGGATTTTTTAGATGTCTGGATGCAAACTGGATCTAGAATGAAAAGAGCCTCCAAATTCCATTTCTGGCTCTGAATGTTGCTTTGTAGAATTCTACACTAGGCTGGTCCAGTCAGTACTAAACTGCTCAGAGCGTCAAGAACATTTAATACACATTTGCCTAAAATTGCCTCATCTCTCCACAAAAGCCACTTCACAGTACCCCATTTCAAACACTGGCTCCATAGCAGACTACTACACACAGAAAAATAAAATAAAAGCTTGTCAAGAGGAGATACAAATGAATTTGAAACAGCACAGAGCAGGAGGAGAGAAGACAAAACTCGGGTTGCGACACTGAACAAGCTTGGGGAAAAAACACACCTTTAACACAAAACCCAACAAATGTAATGGGAAGAAAAGCCCTTTGACACCAAACCCAGCAGGTGTGAACAGCGGGAGCGAGGGGGCAGAGCTGGGTACCTCTTTCTGGAGGCTGGCGATGTGGGAGGACAGGCTGTCGATGCGCATGTGGCTCTCGTTCAGCTGCTCCCGGATGGTGTTGGCCGCAGAGCTGCTCATCTCCGAGGACAGCCTGGCGCTCTCCAGCTGCAGGGCACCAAAGCCAGCACGTCAGTTTCGCAGTAACTTTCACCAGAAGGAGGAATGAATCACCAGAAACCCACGGGCCACGCTAAGCCGCCCGAGTTCCTCTCTGCAGCCCCAACGCGCTGAAACCTTTCTTTCTTTGGGGCTAAAACGTGGGTACCGCGTTCGTTTGCCCTGCCTGGAATTCCAATTCTCTGAGTATTTACTTTAGGATTAAAACTTTCCCTTGTAGACATTACTGAAACTGAGCTACTGAGCCCCGTTTTCATGCTGGCTAAAGTTTATTCAATGCACTTAAATGTTTATTTAACGCGCTTTAGCTCCCCCTTAGTGAAATGAGTTTACATTCTCTAAACTGAAATGAGTTTACATTCTCTAAAAAGAGGCAAACTTGTTACCTTTCAGGCAATAAAAGCAAATTGGCACCAGTACTAGTGTCCTAAACCACTATTGTTTCATTCTATCACTTCAAACTTCAACAGTTTTACTTTTACAGAGTAACTAAATCGTTCCTGCTGAACACTACCACACACATTTGAGCTGCACCACAAATTTATTGAACTCGATGATGATGGTGCAAAGCAATCCAATTTATTTTTTTTAACTAAGTTTCCAAAAATACAGAGAATTATACCTGATGATAAAGACCAAGGAAGCAATGAGAGGTTGCATTTTTGGCTAGACTGTATTTTAAATAATCTTTTCCAAGCCAGATTGAAGGCCTGGAGATAAGCAGGCTGAAAAGACCAAAACTGATGCTAATAAATTCAGTTTATATGAACTTTTCTGATGTAAAATCTCACCCTGCTTTTAAACAATACTAACTGCAACAAGCACAGCCACAGAAACCAGGTTCAGTTGAGACATCAGGGTGCTTCCTGACATAAATGCTGAGTAACAGCAGAGGAAGGAAATGATGAAGTCTAACTGATTTCAGATTTCTGTCTAGATGAGTGAAAAACAGAAGTTACTGGGCATTGTAAAACTTCCCCATGTTTTGTACAGGCTCAGAAAACTCTATTTTCTATCTTCTCAGCAGCCCCATTATGAATTTTTATAAATATATATTTATCATTGCTCAGTATCATGCTTAACAATTCAAAAAATTTTCCCTGAATTCGTGGTAATCCCAGCCTTAATCACTTTTCCCCCCACACCACCTTCACACAGTGCTTCCCTTCCCTTCTGTTGCTGTACCTGATGAGCATTAAACCTGCTCCCAAAGCAAGATGTGAAAGTGCGAACCCACACCCAAACGCGTGCTAATTCCAAGCCCCTCCAAGCCGCCACAAATTGCGCTGTTAAGCCAAACAAAACCGAAGCAGCGCCAAACAGCTGTGTGAGAACACTGCTCTCACCTTGGAATGGTAAGTCTCCTCCAGCTCCTCCTTGTAGAGCTTCACTTGTGCGTCGTGCTGCTCTCGGATCTCGTGGAGGGCCTGGGCCAGCTTGTGCTCGTACTCGATCTGGCGCCCAGAATCCACCTCCACCAGGCGCGTCTCATGCTTCCTTCTCGTCTCGTTGATCTCCTGTGGGAGCCACAGAAACATGCCAACACCCGGGAAATACGGGACCAAAGTTTCCTGCTGAGCGGGGAGTAATGCAGGTTCCAGGGTCGGATTATTCTGGCGCGAAGCTTTTGGTAGAAATGGTCTCCCCAGCCTTATCTTGCAAAAGCTAGTCGTTAAAATAAGAGCTAGGATACCATCAGTATTTTTTTCTCTGGGAGTTCCCTGAACTTGCAACAAACACACCTCAGAATCATCAGATTTTGGAAATAGATCCCTCCTTTCTTGAGGTACCTTGTGTGCTTCAACAAAATCAAACTGCTGTGAAATAACAGTCAACTCACTTTCCCCATTTACTTGTGTGCTTGCCTGTGCTTTCTCTGGAAAGAAAGGGATTCCAACAATATGAAACAAAGCTGAAAACACTTCTAGCAAGGAAAAGCACACATGGAACAAAAGACATTTGTTACTGCCCTACGGTTCCTCCTGGAAAGACTCAAATGCCGCAGGTGAAAGGGAGGGTGGCAAGAGAAAGTTCTAAGAGACAACTATTCCTCCACCTTTGTTTCCATTATTCAAGAGCATCCTATTAGAAAGGTTTGAAATTAAAAACATTGCAGGCCCAGAGCACCTGTTTGAGTCTCCCTCCACTTTATTTCTTATAATGGGATTATGTGGGAAATTAACCTACTTTCTCATTAACAGAAAAAGACGTGCATTGCATACCATGATCAGAATTTAAGATGAAACAACATGATACATGAGGTCATTTTACCACAAGAATTCAGAATTAAAATCATTTTTCCTAGAAAAAGGAAGTTAGAAACCTTCATGCCAGAACAGAGGTAAACCCTACTCTGAGTAGAAATTCAGACAAATTGCAGAGGTACCTCCCAACAACCTAAGTTATTTTCCTATTCTAGGATTTCCCACACCAGTTGCCGCCTTCTCTTTAAAAATGTTAAATTTACCTCCTCATACATATTTTTACGGAATTCCAGGTCCTCAAGGAGGCTCTGACAACGGTTCTCAAGGTCCACTTTCTGCAAAGTTTCGTTTATAAGCTGGCTCGTGGCAGCAGCTATAGAAGCTTCAAGCTTTAAGAAATAAAAAAAAAAAAATTAAAAAAAAATCAACACAAATTATGCAGTAGAACTCACACAGGGGCCAAAGCCTCACAGAACTACAGCTACTACATATTAAGGTTTAACTTCACAATCAGATCCCAATATTTATCCCAGTAATATTACATATCACACATGGACACTTTTGCAGTTGCTTATACAAGCGAGTTCTATATATTTCACATTAGTAACTGGCATTAAAATTGCTCCCTAATAATTTTCCTTACAAATCAATTTTTAATACATAGAAAACACCATTTATTCCTTCTCTCCACAACTTGTCTTCTTGAGGTGGCGATGTTCAACATTACAAATCTAAAGGCTAACAAAACTAGGAGAAGAGGTTTTCCTCCTCATTGTTCCAGCAGAACATGCAGAACCAGAGGCAGAAACAAAAGGGGGGCAGAGAGAAATTGTTATTTGTCACTTATTATCTGTTCTTGTCAAGCCAATCTGCCCCCAAAACAATTCTGAAAAGTGTCAAGTGTACTTTGAGTCTTGATCTCCTTTCTTCGCCCTAAGTAACATCCCTCATAATTTCAGCATCTTCGATTTTAAGAGCTGTCTCAGCTCTGGACAGGTTTTCATCCTTTTTTTTTGGTTACAAAGTTATATTTCATCAGATTGGCAGCTCATAATACAGAAAACCACCTCACTCGCTAAGAGAACCTGATGGTTAAGATATTAATTTCTTCTCACCTCTCTAATTTGCTCTTTCAAATCTTCAATTTCTCCCTCCAGACTCTTCTTATCACCAAGAGCTGTGGCCAGTGCAGCTTCTTTAGAATTCAGGGCTGCCTCAAACTCACGAAGTTTGACCTGGGCTCCACTGAGGTCAGATTCCTTTTTTGCATAGCTGGAACAAACCAGAGAAAGTGATTGTAAGAAAACCTAAAAATGCCTAGAAATGGTAGCAAGAAAACCTAGAAATGTCCCCAAAATAGACTGCTGGCTAATAAAGCAATCTGAATCTTGAACTTGAGAAACACCTGTCAAAAACATTTTGTTTTAGCTAAATTTACTGGGCTTTGGCAGCAACCTTCAAAAATGGCAAAGCTCCACAGACCCAAATCCTGTCTATACAATATCCGCCATCACAGAAATTACACTGGGTGCAGAGGTGATTTCTTGATGAAGGCAAGCACAGAAGATTTTCAAATTACCTTAAAATTAGCTTTTGTGTCTAGACAAACATGTTCTAGGTGTTTATCTCCTAAACCAGCATATTCAAACAGAGAAATCAAACAGGGGGGAAAAGTAATGTCACATAAACACAAGTTTATTATCCACAAATAACACTGTAACAGGCTACTCTCAAAAACAGGAGAAAGGAAACCCAAAATCATGAATCAAAGTGTCTCTTGTCCTTAGATAGCACAAGCAGCCATTAAATGTGTAACAAGTTCTTCAGCCTTGGAGTTCATTATTTTTCTGCCTGGGATATCCACCCTTGTCTATCAAGGGCAGTAGCATGCACAAGTCCTAGATGGTTTTAATTGAACTGTGAACTTTTTAAAGGGATGGACAGATTTAGGCTCAGTAATAATGAGAGCTGACATGTCCTTCTTCAGTTTTTATGCTTTTCTTTCCAGATGTTAAAAAAAACCCCAAAACAACACAAAAGAACCAACCCAGAATAAACAGCATAACATGCAGAAAATTGAATAAATCGAAATCAAAATAAAATTAGATAGATTCAGAATACATCCACAACTCTTTTTAGTCGCTGTAAGGTTTATAAGACACAACAGCAATGCATCTCGACAGAATGAGACCGAAGGCAAAAATCAACACAATTTTAAAAGCAGACACCCTCAGCTTTAAAAAATCCCTTTTCCCCCCCAAGATTACCTGCACTTGTCACGCTCACAGGCGAGGTGCATGCACACGGAGGGATGCAGGGATGGAGTGCCTGCCTGCCGGTTTCAGCACACAGCCACACCACATGGCAGCCCTTATGCAACAGACTTAGCGCTCCTTAATCCCGATCCCTGGGATTAGCACCTGCTGCCCCCCCGGCATCCAAGGGCCAGGCTGGGAGCCCCTGAGACACACAAAAACACTCTCCTGCACTCAGCTGCTTCCTCCAGCCCAGCACTCCCCACCGCCTTAGCGGGATCTCACTCCTCAGACCCACGGCCGGACCCGGGGCTTGGACAAAAATACAGGATTTGGGGTTTGGGCATTCCTGCTTCCAGCTCTCTGCATTATTCCCCGTCCTTCCTCTTGCACCCAGCCCTGCCGGAACTTCAGCACGCAAGGAAAGCGCGCAGCAGAAGAGGAAAAAGAAGGAAGGGAAGGTGTGTTGCACATCTGTACAAAAACATCTGTAAAAAAACCCAATCCCTCCATCCCCTATTAGGAAGTATGAGGGTCCACAGCAGACATTTCTTGCTTGATCACACTTCTGGAAAAAAAAGCTTTAATCAAAATGTGAAGAAACTGCTTCTCCTAAGCTGAAACCAAGGCTACCAAGTCAGATCCTGAAATGAGAAAGTTGCAGAACTATAAACAGTGTGCTGCTCCCCAAATTATCCTGGACTCTGAAACAGAGAGTCCCCAAAATGTGCCACTACCCAAGGTGGTGGATACCTTAAACTGCTTGGATCCTAAATTATTTTAATACAAATACCTTTTTAATGCATTTACAGACTGAGAGCCAGCTGAGAAGAGCGTTCTTGCCATGCATCAGCAAAGAAAAAAGGGTATTATAATAAAATAGACTAGCAACAACAACAACATGATTAAAACCCAGGGTAGTACCTGTACCACAAAAAGTATTACCAGTTAGATCAGCCCTTTCTGGCTTGTTTGCAACAAGACTGTCTGTGCAGCCACACTATAATTTAATGCAACAAAAGCCACAGCAGGGGGGTGGTGGGTGGGTGGAGAATTAAAATTAAGCACTATTAGTTGTTAGTGACATGAGCTGTCTAACTGTGAGACAGCTCATCTGAACACGTTCTCAGAGAGAAAACAGAAACTGGAGCTCCACACTTCAAACGCTGGAAGCCAGATGAAATCTCAGCAACTCAACAGTGTCGTCCCAGCCCTGAAGGGAATTCAGGAAAGGAGGAGAAGATCAGAAAAGCCTCTGTGATGTAGAAAAACAAACACCAATGTATACAGCACATACTTCACCCTTACATCCATTAATTTTGACCAGGAAAAACTTCAGCCTCCTGACAATAGACGCCTTCTTCCTCCCCAGAGAGCCAAAGCTACATCTGAATACAGCAAATGAAAAAACCTCAAACACCTTCCTGTTGCAGTGTTCAGAGATCACCTAGAACTGTGCTCCTTTTCAAGTAGTTTGACTCATGAAAGGAAAATAAAAGCAAACAAGTAATTGCTGACTCGCATCTTTTTCAAAGAAGCAGTTTGGTTTTCTCTCTTTTGACTTCAAAGTGCGTGCATCTTCTTATCCATGGAATTGTTTACAACAACCTACAATTTCCCATCATCTCCTTAAACTTCTTGCTAAGTTAATAGAAAAGCCACACAAAAAAGCCTCAACTAAACAAAAACCCCCAAAGAAATAATTTTCTAGCTGAGCTGACCATCTGGAGCCAGACAAGCCACACACCCTAGTGCGAGGTAAGCAGTCAGCAGCCAGACCTTGGGAGGTGTAATTCAAAATTTCGTTTGGAACTGACCGAGCGCAGGATGCCACCAGCCTACCGCAGATCCCTCTCACCTCCCACACCCCACCCACTCTTCTCCGCAGCTACTTAAGAGCCTGATCACCAAGCTAAGCATTGCCAACATTAACCAAACCCTCCTCAGAAAGCATGGGCTTTCAGCCAAGTCGTGACATAGATACACACGTGTCGCCACTCCTGATAATGCAACCTATATTTAGACCCCTATAAAATTACATTTACTGCACAGTGGGTTGGTTTTCTACTCCACTTGTAGAGAAATATGAAAATAATAATTAAAAAAACCCAACTACAGAAATGAATTTTCTATGTTTTATTTAGCTAGCAGTCAGTTTCCCACATTTTCCCCCCATGGCAGACAAAATGCTAGGGCTGTATTTTGCAAGGAAGTGACTTAAATAACGTAAGAAGCACCTAAGAGCATTCAAATATTTGATTAGAGACCGACATAAAAGTAACTGGACAAGTATGGCTTTCCTGTAAATAAATATATGCAATGTTGTTTCAACCTCGTCTCATGTTACCCATTTTATTTAAATGTTTGCAACCAACAACAACACATCATCTCTAGTCACACCCTGCTTGAAGTCACAAATCCAACCTGAAGCTCACGGTCATCTGTGTGAGCCCCATAACCCCATTTTAAGCAGAAACTACACACACAAACACATATCAAGCCACTGCCCACTACCCTGTCTTCATTACATTTCCACGTATTTGAGCCCAAATAATTATGTCCCACACTGCACAGAAGACGTGCTGACTTCAGAATACAAATTCTTACATTTCAGTGGCTTGAATGATTTCACAACAAGCCAACCACCCCACTCCTTCCCCCTCTGGGTGCTCTGTGGTACACATCCAAACGGCGACAGATCTCAGATTAAAACCTCTGAAATTCCAATCTTTGCCTCACTTTTCAAGATCACCTACAATAACAAAAATACGCCTGAAAACAACTCAAGCCAGCTTCCTTTCCAGCTCCTCGCAGCACATATGCACCCTGGCAAAGCCTGGGACAGGTGTCACATCTCTGCCTGCACCAACACCACATGGCTCTGTGTGGCTGCTCGGGGTACCAGCTGCACCCTCGATCAGCAATTCAAGCCACAGGCTGATGGGAAGCTGTTCCTGATATTCATTTTACTGTCCAATCTCAGTGCAGAAATGTACTTTAGAGTGAAGATGGGAAGGAAGGCCAGATGGAGATGCAAAGCCAGCCAGCCACATAAACTATCTCTTTGATACTTAAAACTAAAGTTTAGTTTCTTGCCACATTTACTATTAATGCACTTAACACAACACCTGAAGATAATAAAGGAAGATTAAGTCCTTCGCCAACACCTTCAATAAAACACACAATTTCCTTCAAAGTTACTCTAATCACATTGTCTCTCCTCTTCCAGGAGGCAGATGTCCCTCAACACTGGCAAACTGCCACAGTGAAACCCCAGCCTGCCAAAGACAAATGCAAACAATGGGTTTCCTAAATTAACTGGAGTTAACACCAGCTCACACCTCCTAAAGAACACAATTTCCTCACACCACCAACCAGAACTGGGCAAGTCCAGCCAGGGATTTCTGACCATTAAGTCTCCATCAGAAACACTCTTCGAAATAAATTTTCTTTATCTTGGAAACCACTTCCACCAGTGGGAAACTATGCTGAAACCTGACCCATCAGCAGAGGCACACAAACACAGCAGCCAGCCAGCCCCGGCTCTCTGAACGGCCCCTGTTCAGCAGGACTTGGTGACACAGCTGTGCCAAAATTCACAATGCGCGCCCTTGTTAAGTTAATTGCTCCCAGTGACACACGAGACCTTTCTGGCCCAGCAGTTCTCCCTGGTGTGCACTTGTGGCAAACGATGAACCCATGACACGTCTCCCCTCAAAAGCAGAAGCTTTGTCCAGTCTTGTAGGATGCGACGGAGCAGCTGGGACCTGCTGCTTAAGTGATGGCATTATGACATGCCCAAGGACGACATCCCTCACTGATTTGTACGCCTTGTCCGTTTTTTAATCCTTTTCCCAAGAAATATGGAACTCGCAGCAATCTGAACTCCCAGCCGAGGCAACGCTGCTCTGTTGTAGGAAGCGCACTCTTACCTAAAAATAACAGGAGTTGTTACCCCAAAATAATTTGTTGCTAATTGTATCATCACGAATTTTGAGCGTTCATGGTCCTGCTACCTACAGGAAGCATTTCTTCGCCTCTATTGCTCACGAGCAAGCCCAGCAGCTGGAAATCAATATGCACAGGCATTTTATTCTGTGGAGCTACTGCTGGTGTCTGCCACAGCCCTTGACTGGCAAAAGCGTAGCAGTCACAATTAATTACACAATTTTATTACAAAAAATTATTACAAGTTTATTTAAAGTACAGAAGTAGAGGCATGTCTCTACAACGGCCAACACTGATAGCAAAGCATACAGTTAAGTCTTGTCTAATCACTAATGAGAAAATAAACTGGAAATACTGTGAAATTTGTGCTGTCTCTCAATTTCTCAAACCATGGAAGAGAGATCTCCCTCTCCTCCACCTCCCAAGCATTCTATACACCCAAACCCAAATGGCATGGGGTTTTTTTTCCCCTAAGTCTTGAGACACAGAGATTTATTTTCCTTTATCTCCATTCTGCCCATCACTTAAGCCTCCTACCTACACAACCATGAGTATCACTTTCCCATCCCCTCTCCAGAACAAAAATAGGGAAGCTCATTTTTTAAATCTCACTTTTCCCCCACTTAGTTCTTTAGAGATTTGAAGTATCAAGGGAAACCCTCATATTTTTGCTAGAGCAGAACCTATGGCTGCATGGCAAGCACTCTAGGACAGCATGCAGCAAGACTGCTGTATATATAGGAGTGTAAACAAACAGTAAAAAAATGCAATTTTCTTGAGGGATTTGAAGTATGAACAGAGCAAGCTTTTTGGTGCATCACACTGTACAGACGGCACTGAAGTCAGCAAATCCAACAAATAGGTGACCGGAGCTTTAATTTTTGTGAAGAAAGAATAGGAAAAGTCCTACAGCACTTTCAGAGTAACTAGAAGCTTGAGTTTGAGGCACTAAGTGTGACTGAGAGATGCCTGGAATAAAATGGATCAAGCAATTAAGGATGCTGTGCTAACCAGAGGAAACAGAGTGGCACAAGAACACACCTGCAAAAATATTCAAGTAACACAAGAAGGCCAGCTAGACCATGAAAGGTATTGCCCAGCTTCAGATAATCAAGTGGCAAATCATCTTTGCTGCCTCCACAGACCCAGAACACCATTTCTCCACCACCAGCTCTGTAAGGAAACAAAGCCATCACTAATCTCAATGTTATGGCTACCAGAATATATATATATATATATAAACCACACAAACCAAACATGCCAGGAAACTTTTTTTTTCCCTTTTTCTTCCCCTGCAACTGGCTCTGTTAGATCCAAACTACAACAAACTCACATTTTAACTAAAGCCAGTGCATACAGCACACTGCAGTTCTGCTTCCAGAGAGGGCAAGGAAAATCCTGCTGAGAGCACACATCCTCATGTTACCTTGCAAACCTTCACAGTGCTCCTATGCACACTTGTGCAAAGTGCTTTCAAGAGCATTTTTTGTCAGGTTACAATGTGATTTAACAGCTTTAAGAAGCCATGAAGGAGCGTGCTCCAGTTCAAGTGAAAAACCCCTCTGCTCCTTTTTAAGGCTTTGCAAATAGAATTACAGATAAGCTTAGATATCCCCAAGATATCCATCTTAGCACTCAAAGACGACTAAGAAACTGCACGCCCATCCTGAGGTCTGGCAGCACCAAACCACACCAAAGAGCCACAAACAAGTGGAGCCCAGGAGCCCCAAACAGCACCGAGTGTTCGTTTCACTAAACCCTCCAGGAGTTCTTGGCAATCAACACCCGCCCCCAATAAAACAGGTTTTTTGCCAAGTATCACAGGCAAATGCAAGACAGAATATGCAGATGCCCGTGTCCACGTTATTAGAGCCTTGGTTCCAGCCACAAAAAGGGAATCCACCACAGCCTGCGTTTGGATCCCAGTCCCACGCACGGCGTCTATGTGAGAAGCTGACACAAGAGTGTGTCCTCCTCAATAAAATCATCAAGAGATGGAAATTCCTGGCTTGACCCCGGAGTCAAGCAATGCTGGTGCCTGTCAGCAGCTACACCTGGCTTTCCCCTATCACTGTCAATGACTACTTTGATTTAAGACTTTCATGAGGCGCCAAGAGAGAGCCTCCAGATTAACCAGTCTCACTAATTAGAAGCTCACGGTTTTGGTTTTTTTAAATAACCGAGTCCAAGAGATATCAGAGCTGTCTGCAGACGCGGGAGAACATCAATGCGCTGGTTACACACGAAGTATCTTCCTCATCACGAAACATCAGGGCTGAGAGGGCATTTAAGACACAGTAGCAGAGGAAGAATAACAACTCTGGAGGTTTTTACCCCCCATCCCAATATTGCCACACCTTGTGATTCCAAGGGTAAAGCGCGAACGCCTAAAACTGTGCAGCAGCCACAAAAACCAAGTGGAAGGTAAACACAAACAAGGAACCAAATAAACAAATTAATCGTTTTAAGAAGCAAAATCTAGTGTCTCAAAATCAGTTCGCGGCAAAAACAGGGATCTTGGCAATGTGCCCTAAAGCCGTCAATCTGGGGGATGTGCGGACACAAATTCTACCTTTGGAACATCTGAACATCCAGGAGGGCGTTCACACAGAAATTACAGCCCCCTTTGGTTTCAAGCATGATCCATGTATTACCTAGTCAGTATTTTCACATTATGAAGTTGATCTCTTTGAGAAAGGCTCAATTTTTCATCCCGAAGCAGCCTGAGCCTTCAGGACAGCCCCTCAGTCCGTGCAGGGGGAGGCGAACACTCATGGAATCACATTCTAAGGGACTGGGATGGACTCTAAAGCCCGTCCAGTCTCCAGTTCCCAGACTAAAGCAGACCATCCTGAGCTCCATCAAGCCTGGCCTGGAACAATTCCAGGGATGGGACCATCCACAGCCTCCCTGGGCCACCTGTGCCAGGACATCACCTCTCTCACAGCCAAGAATTTCTGCCCGATATCCCATCTAAACCTGCCCCTCTTCAGTTTAAAGCCGCTCCCATCTTATCCGAACACCCCGCGCCCTTGTCAAAAATCTCTCCGCAGCCTCCCTTAGTTACAGGAAGGTGCTCTAAGGTCTCCTTTACTCCGGGCAGCAATCAGAGCACTTCACCTCATTTCTTACGCTCCGGCCTCCCTGTACAACCTGTTCCAGCGCACAGTAAGCAACTCCTGCCTGATATCCAACCTATCTAACCAAACTCCCCCTTTTTTCCGTGCGCACCGGAGCACCCCGCGGATGCTGCGGGGGCCGGGGCACTCGCACCCGGCAGGGGCGGCGCTCGGGGCCAGCTCTTCGCGCCGGGGCGGAGCGGCGGCAGCGCTGCCCGTCGCTCCTCATTCATTCCCCCATTCATTGCCGGCCGCGGAGCCCCGGCCGAGCGCCGGCGGGACGGGCGGGGTGCGCTCCGCCGGTGCCTCCTGCGCCGCTCCGCCCGCATCCCCATCTCCATCCCGCCGCGCCACCGATGCTTCCCGGCCTTTTTATCACCCACCTGCCCAGGAGCTGCTCGTGCTCGGCGCGCAGCTTGCCCAGCTCGATCTGCAGCTTGGCGCGCTCCCGCGCCGTGTCGTCCAGCGCCCGCCGCGCGTCCGCCAGCTCCGCCTCGTAGATCGCCTTGAGCCCGCTGACCTCGCGGCCCCGCACCTCCTCCCGCTGGGTCACCTGCAGCTGCAGCGCGCTGTTCTCCGTCTCCAGGCTCCGCACCTTGTCGATGTACACGGCCAGCCGGTCGTTCAGCTGCCGCAGCTCCTCCTTCTCCTGCAGGCGGGAGATGCGCGTCGGACTCTGCGGCATCGCGGCGACGGCTGGGCCGCGGGTCCGCGGCGGCAAGGGGTCGGCCATGGAGCGCGGGCTTGGAGGGAGGACACCGGCAGGGCGGGAAACGGGCGGGGAGCGACGGACAGGCGGCCGCGGGGACGGACGGACCGACCGCCGTCGCCTCCTCCTCCGCCGGCTCCGCACCGATCCAATATGGCCGCGCGCCCGCCCCGCCGGACCGCGCTCGCGGCGCTCCCGCCCACGTGACCGCAAGCCAGCCAATCGCGAGCCGCCTTCTGCCGCGGGCTAAATTCAAAACCCGCCAACGGCCGCCGGGCGCGCCAGTGAGGCCACGCCCCGCCGGGCCACGCCCACGCCCCGCGCGCGTTCCCGCCCCTCATTCCGCCTCCCGTTCCCGCCCATGGCTCCGGACAAAGGGACCGGGAGGGAGCCCGCATCCCCTCCCGCCGCCCCGCCCGGGGGTCGCCGCACGGGCCGCCCGCAGAGCCCCGCGGCTGGCCGAGCGCTCCCGGGAGAGGCAGTGGTTCGGCGGCGTGCCTGTAAATTACAGAATGGCGGGATAAATCAGGCGGGGGTGATGGAGCGCAGCGCACGGCCGAACACTACCCTGTCAACAAGAGCATAGTAGTGGCAGCCGTGCAGGCTTTCCGTTAGCACCTCCGGGGACAGTAACTCAGTGCGTCCCTGGGCAGCCTATTCCAATGTCTGGCCACCCGTTCGAGGAAGAAATTCCTCCTGATGTCGAACCTAACTGCCCCCAGCCCAGCTTCAGGCCATTTCCTCTTGCCCTCGTTCCCTGGAGCACAGCCCGACCCCCCCGGCTGTGCCCTCCTGGCAGGAGCTGTGCAGAGCCACAAGGGCCCCCCGAGCCTCCTTTGCTCCAGGCTGAGCCCCTTCCCGGCTCCCTCAGCCTCTCCTGGGGCTCCATTCCCTTCCCAGCTCCGTTCCCTGCCCCGGCCACGCCGCAGCCCCTCCATTGCCCGTGTGAGGGCCCGGAGGTGCCGCAGCCCTCGAGGTGCGGCCTCAGCAGGGCCGGCCGAGGGACGGGCCCTGCCCCGCTCCTGCTGCCGCCGCACGGCCGGCACAGCCCCGGGGCCATCGGCCTCTGGGCCCCGGGCACCCCTGGGCTGTGTCCGGCTGCAGCTATAAACCCCTCATAAATAAGGAATTTTGCTGTGCCACGTTTCCTACCCAGAATTTACGTCTCTCTCACCCACAGGCTGTTCGCTGTGCTTTAAAAAACAACGTCGGCTCCTGCTGCTGCCTGAGCACGCAGTGTGGGGCTGCTTTGAAGGAATGCGGTGTCCAGGGATCTCCCAGGTACAGGATGAGAGGGCAGAAGGGGCTGTCGAGGGAGGTGGTTAAGGAAAGGCTGGAAGTGGCACTCAGTGCCATGGTCTAGGTGACAGTGGTGTTCAGTAACAGGCTGGATTGATGACCTCACAGCTCATTTCCCACCTAACTGGGACATGATTCCACGATTCTTCGAGTTTCAGGACTCGGAGTGCAATTCCTCAGGCGGAGTCAGCCCACCTTTGGAGTGTACACTTTCATATTCCTTGGCTGATGCCATTGAGGCTCCTGAAGTTTTGCTGCCACTGAGAGGCACTCACTTTCAGGCTGAACATTAATTCTTCAGGAAGAACGGGAATCCTTTTGCAAATTTTCCCTGCTAGGTGACAGCCCTTCAAACTGCCAAAAGAATATATTCCAATCACAGGGGTGTACATAACTAAAGTAATTAAGTCATAGCTGGGAGCTCCTGCTTTTCCCACATTGTGCCTTTGCTGACACAAACCATTCTCTCTGGTTTTTCCTTCCCTGCCGTTTACTAGAATTTGCTCCTTTTCCACTGGAAAAATAAAAAAGCTGGGTTACAAGAGTGATAGCAGCTGGTAAAAAATTCTAGGGCACCTGCTGGAACATAAAATTGTCAGCACAGTAGGATTATAACCCAGGGTAATTTTACACTGCAGCTGGCACTGCTGTGAAAGGATCTGTGTTCACAGGCAGTACAAGAGACAAAATTTGGGAGGTTTCATTGTTGGACAAACTGAGCCCTCTGCAGGTGTTTAGTGTTGGCTTTGGTTCTGTCTGCTTCCAGAATTTAGTTTGGTGCTTGGTTTTAAATCAAGGAGTTTTCAGTTTGTTATAAAAAATTGTGGTATCATCCCTTCCCCACCCCACTATATTTGTCTGCCTGAAGCACAGCACTTTTCTCTCCCGACAGAGGTATGGGTGTGATGTGTTCTATTTCACCTCCCAAATCAAAAGGATGTATTAAAAAATCCACACTGTTTGTAAGGAGGCCTTCTTTTCCCCCTCAGAAGCCTCAAAATTCATCTTTTTGTTATTGAAACCACTGCATTTTAGCTTCCTGGTCTACCACATGAGATTAAACTAAATGGTGCTTATTTAGCAGACCAGATTTGCTAATACGGTAAAAAAATATTAATGGAAACAAATATTGTAGTGGAAGCAGCTGGCCAGATCAGTCTTCTTGTTGTAATTACCCAGTGAAAAAACTAAATGTTGATCTTGCCTATTCCATGCTTATTTTTCACCAGTCTGTGTTTTCAGGTTGCTGCTTCCACCTATTAAAAAAAAAAAAAGATGTAGCATTTCCTATGCACATAAAATTATAACAGTTGAATCCATTAATATCTCATTATTCAAAAAAAAAACAAAAAGAAAATAAACTTGTGTTGGTTTCACCAACAAGACTAGCTTCCGTAAAGAAATAAGTAATTGTTGCTGCTGTCAGATTTCCCTGCGATTTTCTTTATATCTGAGGTTTCTTTCTGGTGCTTGTGTGATTGAATTTTTCCTGCTGGATTAGTCTGAAAAGGGAAGCGAGTAAATTATGGGTCTTCAAACTGTACCTGGGCTGATGAAACTGAATATCAGCACTGTTCCTCTTTACTCAGGGCAGCTCCAAACAAACAAACAAAAAAAAAAAGGAATGTGGTGTTTACCCGAGTGACTCAGCCCTGCCTCTAACACACCTCTAAAACACATCACACATACTTTCCACACGGGTTCAAAATGCCACTGCAGCTGCAATTTATTAGTTTTAATTTACTAATTTTTTTCCAGTCAGATAAATTGTGTATATGGGGCTTGTACACAACTTACAGACCCAACAGACTGCACCTCTTGGACTCATCTCCTCAAAATGTGGAAAGCATTTCAATAACTGAGACATTTTTAAACAAAAGCCTTCCAACGTGCACCATTTAATAGCAAAGGTTTTCTCTGTGCACTGATTTAAGTTTTGGGAAATTTGTATAGATCCTGTAATTTCTAGTAAATGAGCCATTTTTGCTGTTGCCAACTTTGTATTGCTAAACAGATTTTATATGTATATATAACAATTTGTATTTATACCATATTTACTTTTAAAGTGGACACAGTGAATACATTCTGCATATGTGTCCATAGTCTGAGGGTTACCTCAGTGATTCAGGTATTGTTCTCCTAAAGAAGAAAAACATAAAAATATTTAAATTTATATCACCTAACCTGAGTACTTATGAAAAAATACTGTCTGTTTGTTTTCACCTGGGAATGTTTGCTAAAGAAGAATCAAGAAGAGAATTTGCTTCAGTCTGAGCTTTCAAGAAACCAAGCAAAACAACCAAAAATTAATAGAAATGGGGTTTTTTTGTAACAGCCACAGTAGGAGGAGAGAGCACGGGGGTGTCTGCAGCTGTTTAGAAAGAGAACAAAATCTGGAGACTCTTCACATGAGCAGATGGGGTAATAGTGATACTCCTCCCTGGTTTTTGGCTTCAGCAATGTGAAAATGATAACTGTGACTGCTGCATGGTCCCTGTGCAAATTCCAGCGGCTGCTCTGTATAGCAATAACTTAAGTATGACTACACTGCCCTTTGTAGGTTCCCTTGTGCAGAACTTGAAGCCTTTCCTAGAAAAAGCACTTTAAAAATATTGATTTAGCACTGTGTCTCACCAGGATTCAAAGAGAGCTATCAATATCGTTTGAGCTAAATGAGTATATGAAATGAAAACAAACAAATGACATAAAAAATCTGCATTTTTTTTAAAACTGTTGTTTCAGGTAGAATGGAAAGCTTGTTTTTCATTTCTGTTGAATCTTTCACAATGAAAACTTTCTCAGAAAGCTTTGTTCAGTGTTCTGCAGGGTGTCTTTCTCCAGGAGAAGCCAAAATAAGATGAATAAACACATTCGGGACACGGACACACAACGTTTGCCTGTGACCGTCTGGAAGATGACGGAGCGCTGAGGCAGGACAAGCAGAGCAGGAGGAACAGAAGCAAGAGAGAACCGTCACAAGAACTGCCCTGCTCTGGTTTCCATCGAAATCATCACCTAAGCCAGCACCCTCCACCCTAGGCAGACGCTGAGCCAGGCAGGGAGATGTGTTTGAAAAGATAAACACGCGGGGTGGGCGTTTGGAGAATGGCCCAGGGAGCTTTCCACCCGCACTGCAGAGCTGCCCGCAGGGGAGAGGCAGCGATACGGCTGCTGGTTGTGGTTGGAATCACTCCCCGCAGTGATTGCAAAACACTGAGAAAGAGAGAGAGGGCAGGAGGAGCTGTGCAAGGTAAAGGAGAAGCAGAAACTCGCAATTACACAGTGCCACGTGAAGGTCAGGCCGGGCTCACTTTAAAAAAGACCATGCAAAACTGGAAAAGTTGCATTTCTCCAGAATAGGCTAGTGTAAATACAGAATCCCCTTGCTGAAGAGCCCAGTTGTTAGCACAGAGGGCTTATGCTTATAGAGAAGTACTAGTTTTTCGTAAAAAAAAGGTTTTTGCCATGAAGTTACAGAGGTATTAACCCTATTAGTACATGAGAGTGCATTGCTGCTCCTGTGACAGGACAACTTTAATTCACATTGTAAGTGCATAGTTAGGGAATACATCAATTATTGCCATCTTCTGAGACTTTGTAATTAGTTTTATGAAACTGTCAGCTTTGTTTTCAAAGGCTAGTTATGTGAACTTGTCATATTAATCACAACTCAAAGTCTTAGTTAACAGATCCTTGACCCCTTAGAGGCAGGGGAGAAAAGCAAACCTGTTGTGTGAGTGTCCTGGTTTAGGGCAAATTT